TGGATAACATATGACGTCAAATAAAAAAAGATATGACAGTTGTCCACGAACTTTTCGAACAACCCTCGTATGTCAACATGCAACTTATTTATGTCAACATGCAAAATAATTATGTTAACATGCAAGATATGTATGTTGATATGCAATGTTTTATCTTGCATGTTGACATAAATATCTGCTTGTTAATATATAATTCGCATGTTGACATAAATCAGTTGCATGTTGACATAACTATCTCGCATGTTGACATAAATAAGTAGCATTTTAACATAATTGTCATGCATGGTAACATAAATTAGTCGCATGTTGACATAAATAAGTCACATGTTAACAAAAATAAGTCGCATGTCTACATAATTATGTTGCATCTTGCATCTACGATGTCAGATACGGGCGTCAGTACAGTATTTTACCCATATTAAAATCAGATTCTATTAAAACAGTTGTAACTTGCATGTCAACATAATTATCTTGCATGTACACATAATTATCTTGCACGTTGACTTAATTCATCTTGCATGTAGGTGGCAGAAATGTGCCACCATAAGAGGTAAAGATAACAAACATCAATGTACAGACAGTACAAATCATGTACAGGGTGTACCCCCGGAAATTTTAGATGTGAATTCAGGTGCCTAGGAGAAGTACACGGATTTTTCCGTTATTTCCCGATCATGACAAGGAGCACAGGACAGTGGTGACCGGTCGGCAGGGGATACTTACTCCTCCATTGCACCTGATCCCACCTCTGATGTTTTGGAGATTCGTGTTTGCTCCGCTCCTATTTTGTTATGTTTATGGACTTTCGCTTGAATACTAGTACTGTTCGTTATTTCCGCTTATTTCACCAACCAACATTTGTTCTAACTTCTAAGAATTAATCGAATAATTTGATATATACTTGACATGTAATCAGCAATGCTTAAATGAACATTTATAAATCTTTCACTATAAAGAGAATGTTATCAAAATTTATGTTCAATATTCTTTTTGTTTATTGATTTTTATCAATATTGTCAGAAAATTTGAGTCAAAAACATGAAAAACCGTGCTAATGTACTTGTAAGTATGACATCTGCATGTTTTTATATGATAGATTATATATAGGATTGAACAGATTTCACTTTTCTTTTTCAATCTCTTAATCCTCAGTAGATTCTAAAAATACGACATCATGACTTTAAACTAGACTGCTGATATTCTGTTTTAGCAATTGTTTGTCAACAATTTTCCTCGTTTTAGAAAGTGTACATACGTACTTAGAGCATGCTCTTGCTTATCGAATCAGCTGAGATACATAAACTCCGTATGCAGGTGATAATGATATATTTCTACATAAGTAAGGGAATCTGACAATTAAAAAGTTATTCATTACTTTTATCATAGAGCTTGGTTGTTAGATTACCATTAACGTCTTTTTCAAGTAAAATATCCAAATATGAAACAGATGTGTCAAACTCCGTGGTATCTTTTCAAGCTTCACCGGAATATATCGTGTCGACATCAGAATAGAAATAACCATGATAAATTGACAATACTTCGTCGATATATCTAAATGTCGTGTTAAAGACCACAGCAAGTGTTTTCTTCTTTTCACATTTAAGATTTTGGACAAATTCTGCTTCATATGAATACAAAAATTAGTCTTTAATAACGGAACAAGAATGGAAATTCCAGTAGGTTGTTAGAAGACCTGATTTCAAAAAAACCACATAGATATTGTCAATCAGAAACTCAAGCATCTTTTTATGTCAACTTCAGAATACTTGTGCGTACAATCAGAAAGTGTTTCTTAACAAAATAATTCTGTAAATGACCAAGGTAAGTAAATCTACGAATTCCATTTTAACGACTATAATTTATCGTGGGGAGTGGTTATGTATAAAGTTAAAAAGTCCTAAGTTTTTTTTAAGCTGTTGACATCTGATCTCACCTCTGATGATTTTAGAGACCCGAGCTTGCCCTGCTCTAAATTTGTGTTGCTTTACTGGACTATTGAACCTGATTACTGTTCGTTATCTTCATATTCCATACCTACACTACAGACAATTTTGTTTGTTTTGCACATTTTCTTCGAAAACTACTGGGTGGAGTTAATGCCACAGTAGGGGAGAATTACATGCTTCATGATTTGAAGCTAAGCAGATGTAAGTTACAGATTGCTAAAAAATACCTTGCTTCCAGGATTAAAGAAAATAAAAAGACATCGATAATGGCGATCAAGAGTGTATTTACACGTGTATTTTTTGTTTTATCTACAATCTCCCTGTCTATATATAAAGATTAGCTTCTAAATGGGGAGGTATAGGTCTCCATTGCTGAATCATGTTGACTGATCTTTTATAATAAATTATTTGAATTTTATATTTATTCGCATTTAATTATTGTACAAAAAATTATTTGTGTCTTGAAGTTAATTTATTTTTTTTTAAATTTATCCAATATCCATGTAGGTAAACCAGTTTTACAAAATGAGCAAAATTCTTCTGGTAGTTAAACAGTTTTTGCATACAAAAGAATATCTAAATTAATAAGTAAACATTTTTATTTAGTGTTCTGCCTATGAATTTGTGTATATTTGTTTGGGTATGAAATAAGACTTTCAAAGTTAGTTTTAGAAAAAATAGTTCCAATACTAGTATCTAGAGCCAGTTAAACAAGAGGCTTAAAAGGCGAATAATCTTCCTAAAATTGTCCAAAAGAAATCTTTAGAATTTAACGTAGGGTTTCTTCATTAGATATTTACTTTCAACAAGTGCTAATGCAGCATTAACTCATAGATAGTTTCCTTTTCAAATGAAAGTTTCTTTTGAATCGTACATCAGTTTAAGATATTTTCAACATTTCCAAAAACTTGAATGAATTTAATAATCGTACCTTTACATCTAGCCTGAATTCTAAAAGAGCTTTACAAAGGAGCATAGCTGAAGCTGGAATTTGCTCTTTTACTATAAACGCATACATGTATATGAACTGCACTGAATAAAATCCCGATCAGAATTGAATTAATTACATATTCATTTCCAATTTTATTTTTCTTATATATGCCTGATATATTTTAATGTTTTAATTTAAAACTAATTAATCTAGCCTGGTTTTAATTAAGTAAACATGTTTACGATCCAAAGACGACTGGAATCTAAAGCATCCTTCGTTTCTGTCTCTATGGCACTCTACCGTAAGAAAATCACGATTTGCATCAAAGAAAGAGAAATAAAACGCTATCAGTCGTAAAACTGAGCCGAGTACAAATCGACAGTATATCAGGGCACGGCCAATGGAATATAAAAAAGGTCCTTGATAAATAACATAGGGGTGATTCCGGTGCTATTATACAAAACAAATCGCCTACGGAAAAGGTAAAATGTGCATAGAAACACTGTCGCTACTTTTAAAAGAGAACAGGAATATTCATACTCAATTTTAAAATTGGATATTACTTGAAATATATGGAGAAAACGAACATGTATTCAAGCTCAAGCCCATTACACAATGCAAATCAGAAGCAGAACTAACATCAGAGGTGGGATCAGTTGCCATGGAGAAGTGATCATCCTTTGTCAACTGGTCAATCCTCCATGTGCTCCTTGTCATGATCAGGAAATAACGGCAAAATCTGTCGTCAATTCAGTGTGTTTTTTAGTATGATAAATGTCAGTCAGCGTTTGACTTAGTGATTAATTGTAATGCTGACAAGGAAATTTTTTCAATTTCTATTTAAAACGGAATCTACAAGCATTTTTCGCACTTCTTATCGTTTCATACAGAATAAATACCTGTGTAGATATCTTAGATTTATATTTAAGCGAATAAAACTTAAATGTAAAAAAAATAATTATCACTTGCCTGACTTGGTACTGGGGGTGGGATGGGCGCACTACACGTATTTTTACAAGACTTACATATACATAAAAATAATTCTTTCATTGATTTATTCGAAAACAAATTAAAATATATTATGCTCTTTTTAGGATTTACAAATAATTCTTTCAGCATCGATCATTACAGGGAAGCCATTAAAACGACAAATACGGCAAACACTACCCTCCTCTCACCAACAAAAACCGGAGCATTTTACTGAATACGAACAGCTGCAGCAACTTGCCTGAAAGGCAGGACAAACTGTATTGTCGACAAAAGGATAAAGCAAATTGGAGCTGCTTTTGTAAATGACACATCGGAGCGCTGCCTAATTAAGGAGAAGAACAGTGATAAAAATTGTCATTGAAGTAGGGGACTTTTAGGTATATAATTATGGTCATTTTTTGGTAAAATCAAAATAAATTAAATAAATTATATAAAAATTTCAGCAATGCTCCTTTAATTATTAATATCACAGAGAGTTTGTAACATTTTCTGCTCTTTTAAGACACAGCAAATTATCTGCCGTGGCCTTTTCTTTAATAAAGGGGTTTACCAATTTTGTCTCATGGCTCTTCTGAGTCAATGATTCAATTTATTATTGCTTAGTCTGTTTGGTGTTTTCTTTTCTCACGATTGGCACAAAACAATGATTAAGACTGTGAATTTGATTTTAGGGAGCTAAATATAAAAAGAAATGTAATTCATCTCCAATTAAATATTTAAATCAAATCGCTATACAGTGTGGGGAAGTTTGTGCTTCAAAACGTTGAAGACAAATACAAGTTGTTAGATAATTATTTACTAACTAAATATCTACGGATTTTCCAGTTATTTCCCGATCATAACAATAAGCACACAGCGAGTGAGACCGGGTGACAGGGGATATTCTCTCCATTTTGGCACCTGATCCCATCTCTGATGTTTTTGCTCTGTTCCTGATTGTATCGTTTGAATGGTCTCTAGAGCTTGAATACTGTTCGATTTCTTTATTACAATATTTCATCGCGTTATCCAATTCAATAATTTGTACAAATATGTTTACATGGTTAAATACTGGTATCTTAATTTCTGAAATTTATTATTCACATTTTATGAATACAATTTCATCAAACCCAACATACGTAATGTATACTTACTTTTTCAATTCTGCATTTCCCTCTTGCCCAGACGACAATTATATTAGAAATTTTCCCGTCTATCTGAAAATACAGAGAGAGAAAAATCCACCGAATTACTCCAGCTCTACTCCAAAATCTGTAAACACGAAAACACAGATTCCTCAAACAAAATCACGGTCCAACTCCAAGCGTGCGCACGATGGGAAGACACGAATGTTCAGTTTCTACCTTCAATCAATTGATTCAATGCTGCCACAGAATAGAAAAAGGACAGTGCAGAGGAAGCTGACCAACACGGCCCTAAGTGGACAGCAGCTAGCATACGAGAGCGTAGAAACCAAGTAATTAATGGATGAGAAGTATTTCCGGGTTTTAACATCAGCAGTGAGAAGTATCTTGGTTTTTTCTTGTTTCTAATCACCCTATTGCTTCTGGTAAACAAATGCGATTAGATGTTTTCAAAACTGAGAGTTGAAGTGTGATGGAACCAATGTAGTTAAGATCGAACCTCACTAATTTACTTAGTGAACCAACTTGAAGAATAAAACTAAAAGAGATATGCCCAATATAATGGAATTGTACTATATATTAAAGTACAATATAGAATTTAAGACATAAATGTCCCTATTTATAGAGAATTAAAATTGAAATTCTTTAATGAAATAGTAATTTTTTATTACGCCTTTTAAATAACAATTTTAAAAAAAATATAATAATAGGATATGGAGTGTTTTTTAATCATATTAATCTAAATGAACGATTGAATTAGTACATATAACGGTTCAGAACGGTAAGAAATAAATAAAACAGCAACGCGTTTCATTTACAGAATATTCCTGAATTTTTAATAAAAAAGTGAAATTTAATGACATGGTCGACTTTTTATTAATTAAGAATACATAGAGTAAAAGATAATGAGGATTAGTCGACGAAACTAATATTAAAATAATCTGATAATCAATCAAGAATGCATTGAAGGTTAAAGTTATATCTAGGACAGTCATCTGTCCTACAGGTATATAGATGACTCTCGGAGCGGACGGAAGAAGAACTAATCACGTGACTCGGACATCCACACATGACCCTGTCTCTAGACCTCGTTCCATTGACAAGATTCCCCGTTCCCAACTAATCAAGGAATAATTGGTGATATAGGATGTAATTAGTGGTACTAATTGGCATGTCTTTTGGATGATATGTTGTTATTTTTCATGTTAGAGATGCAATGCCAATAGCCACATTCAAAGCATCATCAGATCGTCATGTACGATAATCATACACTGTCCAACAAATACAAAATCATGGTAGAATTTACGGGCTACTTCGCGGACTTTAATGAACAAACTAAAATTATTCAGTTTATTTTGTTTTCTAAAGTAAGCCAATGTTATCAATACATGTAGTTATCGCTTACTGAAACATTGAAACTTTTCTGAAACAGGAATATTTTAGTCAATTCGTTTTTAAAGTGGGGCTATATATTAATTACAAACATAAGCAAATCAACCTAAAGAAAACAGGTGCCCTTGAAATTCCGCCAAGATCCCCGCTCCTGTAATCATTAAGAACTCGATACAACTAATTGTTAATCGTTCTGTCGGTTATTTTAAAATAAAAATGGCTAATAAAAAATTACAAACTCCTAATACCGATTCGTTCAAACAAGCTAAATATTAGTTTTACTTCGCTGTCTACACCGCTTTCACATTAAATCCACGGCATCTAATTTTCCGACTAAGTGGTGAGGTGAAAATTTGAGAAAAAGACCCTTGTAAAAATCCTCACGTCGATGTTTCATTTGAATTTCGCTTTCAGGGATCCTGAAATAACAAGGCATTTCTCTGACAACACGATCATTAGTGGCTACAAATAGGAGCCTAGAGAACCCTGACAGGTCCCTTCTCAAGTAAAAACGACTTTTTATGATAACTATCACTTATAATGTGAAAGACTAGGAATTGGTCTCGTTCATCTGTCATTAGTAATGTGTGTCGGTTATATTTTGTAAAATTCTAGGTCAAGATGAGTGCACGTAAAACTAGGGAGCATTTTTTTTTAATTAGCCTTGTTTTTTTTTTCCTTTTTGCATATTCCGTAATTCAATAATAGTGTTTTTTTTCTGTCGAATCTCAAAAGAATCCCCTAAATGGTAATCGAATAATGCTACGTATGGCATTCCATAAACTATCTTCTGATGTATTCTTATTATAAAACTTTAAAGTACATTTGCCTTAATATGTTGTTACCTCAATCGTCTGATAATCACTGAATTTGTACTATTCGATCTCTGTATAATAGATGCTTATTTGTATGGTTTACTGCACGATGCCTGTCGTCTTCGTTATTTCTTATTTTTGCATCCTCTAGCGTGTATGCGTGTTTATTAAATTTCTGAAATATTAACAAAATGTTAATTTTCTACGATGTTAAAAATTCCACCTTTCTGTGGCCACCTTTATTTATCTATACAACTCTTTACATTTTATATCCTGTTATTGTGCAAATTTGAATGAAAAATCGAAATGAATTTGATATTTTCAAGATTTCAGATTAAAGTTTGGTTGTACAGTATATATCTGTCCTTGACACAAACAAAAAAATTGATATGTGGATTGACAAATATTTTTTGACTGATGACGTAAACAATTAATCCTTAGAATAGGCAGAACTTGTACGTTTTCATTGTTGCTTCTACTCGGTACTTTGTTTTTCTTTCTATGAAAAATATGGAGATAACGAACAGTATTCAAGCCCAAAAGTCCATAAAACAATACAAAATAGGAGCAGAGCAAACACGGCCCTCTAAAACATCAGAAATGGGATCAGGTGCCATGGAAGAGTGAGCATCCCCTGCGGACTGGTCACACCCGCCGAATGCTCTTGTCAGGATCGGAAAATAACGAAAATGTATAATGGCCAAACAATTAGTATGAAAAACCTAGTCAGCATTTGACATAATGATAATTTGTATTTGCTGACAAGGTCATTATATCGACCATAGAACTTGTGCAATGATGACTTTAAACGAGACTGCTGATATTCTTGTTTCATCAACTTGTTTTAGAAAAATTTTGAAATTGTTCATATGCAGAGCATGTTTTCGCGTTTCGGATCAACTGAGAAATATAAACTCCGTATGTAGGTGATGAAGGTATATTGCTGCATAAGTAAGGGAAATTGGCAATAGGAAAGTTAAAGTCATCACGTCTATCATAAAGCTGGGTTGTTATATTTCCATTAACGTCTTTATAAGGCAAAATATCTAAATATGAAACAGATGTGTCAGACTCTGTGATATCTTTTATTTCAAGTTAACCGAAATATTTCTAATCGACATAAAAATGGAAATAACCATTGTTAGGGCTCAACAAGTCTTTTCTTTTAACATCTAAGAAAAATTAAAATACGTCTGCTGAAAATGGGGCGCAATTGGTACGCATGGGAATTAAAAAAAAATAAATTGTTGGAAAACCTGGTCTCGAAAATTCATATAGATATTGTCAATCAGAAACCTAAGCATCCTTTTAATGTCAACGTCAGAGTACTTGTGTGAACAATCAGAATATTGTTAACATATTCATTTTTTAAATGACAAATGAAAAGGTAAGTAAATTTATGAGACAATTTCATCTTTGTTGAAAAAGCAGCTTTCAATGATATCAAAAAGTCTGGACTTTAATTCATCGCTGGGAATGGTTGTATAAAAAAGTTGAAAAGTTTTCATCCTATTGATTGCGGTAAACTTTTGTGATTTCTGGTGGTAAACTTTTGTATTTTCTAATTTTCCAAAAGTTCCTTGAAAATTTTAAGTATCCACATCTGATTTCCACCACTTCTCGAATATATTGTTGCACACTACTTTTGAAGTTTCTCCTTCACTACTGTTAATATTTTAGTGAGGAAAAACAAAAGGGGCTTGGAAGAACATTTACTGGAACCCACTATATATCTTTGTTTGTAAGGATTTATGTGAAGTTTTGGAATACAATATGGATATGGTAATTCAAATTCATTTTGGTTGTTTGCAATATCAAAAATATTCAAAACTGACATATCATTATGAACAATTTCCTCCTTAGAAAAGGAGCTATGATTATAAGTTGAAATTACCACTAGTATAATTAAATCCTAGTTCCTCTCAAATATGATTTAAATAATGAGCCTTATAAACGAAGACAATGTTGTTACCTGTTTTGTCAGCAGGGACCAGTATGTACTGATGATGTAATCTATATAATTCTTTTTCACTTCTGGATTATTGAATACAGAAAAAGTAGCTGGTTTTCATTAATTCTATCAAATTTTCCATAAGTTTTTTTTTTACCTAAGGACAAAATCTTACAAAATTCCCCTCCATGCGATTCATGTTACCAATTTAATTATCATTCCATGAGAACCATTGCTAATATATGTAAAAAAAAAAAGGGTTTGTTATTTATCCTTAATAATATTTATTTGAAATAATCCCACGTTTTTATTACAATATTTTCTTACTAAATGAAATCAAATTTCTCAAAAAATAGGTTTCCTCATCTATCTTAGAATTCTTAAAGACGACCAGTCACCTTTTCATTAGCAATAATGTCGTATGAAAAAGATGAGGGTTGATACTAAATCAGGAATTCAAAAGGTCAAAACGACCTTAGAATAAAAACGAGTCCTTGGCTACCGAGAGAATCTCTCAACTAAAGGGATTAGGAAAGCCTCGCAACATATCACGCAAGTTGTTATAGCACGAAACAAAATCGGTCATCAGAATTACTGGATTTATAGACATAGGGGTAAATGACGCTAAAGTTTCTAAATATACTAGATAATGTACACATAAACTTAAGACGATGATGCTAGGTGAGGATTTTATTCTAATAACTAAAGACATCAATCTTTATAAATCTCGTCACAACATACGTTCAAGAGAGAGAGAGAGAGAGAGAGAGAGAGAGAGTGCAAACAATATGAACCTATTAAGAATATATCTAGGTATTATTAATGAACAATTTTATTTACATATTCTTATATCGCGGGGAATGAAATAGTTTCGCCGTTCTGTACCGTTTTCGCTGACTTTTTTCTCTTTTATTAAACATCTGTTGTGTATTAAATGGGATGCGCCGTTACACGATTGCTTATTGCTAGATAACACGGTATATAATTGATCAATTTAAAGAATTGTGTGTTCTTATGCTGATTTTTTGTTAAACGACCCGATTGTACCAAAAGACTGAGGTGTTCCAACTCTTGTGGAGCAATAAATAGCACGTGTTTGGTACCCATATTTAGAAGTGTATGAACTCACCTATTCTCTAATTATTTCATGATTTGATTTTTTGAAATATATATATAGATCAAAGCAATCTAAAAAAAAAAAAATAATTTCCTGGAATTCAAACAAAAAAG